ATCAATCCTTCGAGCCGGATTTGAACCAGCGACCTATGGATGTCTACGCAAGTACTTAATTCTACAGTCCACCGCTCTACCAACTGAGCTATCGAAGGCGATACGCGAATGGTGGCAAATGGGCCATAAGAAATTGTTGGTATGCTTGTGGAACTTTTTTTATCAATGCCCAACCTCACAGTAAACAATAACACACACACGCACACACAAACACTGTGTTAATGATCATAAACGTGCTTCCACCAATGCCCCCCATAATAATGAACAAAAATGCGAACAGTTGTCTTGAAAAAGTACTAAATGAAGGCTGATGGAAATGGGAAGGAAATTTTGCTCCACAAAATTATTATACCCTCCACTATAGTATGGAGGATATATTAAGTTTATCATTCCGTTTGTAACACCTCGCAATACACATTTTAGACCCCACAAAGTATATAAACATAAAGTATACAGGATAAAATTCTATGTCGATTTAGCGATGTCCGTTCGTCTGTGGAAATCACTCTAACTTCCGAACAAATTGAAGTAGTTTGATAAAATTTTGCTCAAATGTATGTTATGTCTGGAGGACTTTTGGCACTGAAAATGGACCATGTGGGTCCACGTCTTCGTATAGCCCCCATATAACGGTACCTCCCGATATTCGGTATTTTAATGATTTTAGCGACATTATTCATCGGAATTGTTTCAAATTTGGTATTTAAAGTTCATAATGGATACTACAGCCTATGACAGAAAATTGTCCGTGAAGGTCCACGTCTTCGTATAGCCCTAATATAACAGTACCTCCCGATATTTTGACTATTTTAGCGACAATAGAATTGTTTCAAATTCGGTATTTGAAGTTCCAAGAAGATACTACAGCCTAAGACAGAAAATTGTCTGTGCAGGCCCACGTCTTCGTATAACGCCCATATAACGGTACCTCCCAATATTCGGTATTTTGATGATTTTAGCTACATTATAAACAGATTTTTCTTCAAGTTTCGAATTTAAATATTGCAATAACTCATGACAAAAGTTGCCTATGCAGGTCCACGTCGTCGTACAAGCATTCGGTATTTTTAAGATTTTAACAGAATTTTTAACGGATTTTTTTATTATTTTTTTTTTTCGGAAATTGGCAAATTTGTCTCAAATGGTGGAGGGTATTAAAAGTTCGGCCCGGCCGAACTTACAGCTTTTTTACTTGTTTTATAAAAATTTGAAATATTTATTGTATATATATATATATATATATATATATATATATATATATATATATATATATATATATATATATTTAAATAATGTATATATATATTTAAATAATCTTTTATGTCATGGGGGGGGGGGGAATTATTCTGCCCAAAAATATTTTTTAAACAAATTGAAATAATTGTATATATTTTTAAAAAATAATATCCTTATGTCATTGTGAGTATATTATAAAAATTTAAAAACAACCTCAAAAGTAGAGTTCATAGTCCGAATTACCAGCAGAAACCCAGACTAATTCATTAAAATTAACATTTTTCGCTTTCCAAAAATGTTCATCTAAACTTTAATATAATTTTCCATTCCGTCCCAAAGATTTGCACAAAACCATTTAATAAATTTGAAAAATTCAATCTTTAGCCTTTTAATCTTCCTGATTCGCCTTTAATTCAAGACGTTTGTGTTTTCAATTTCGCCTTCATTGTCTTGTAATTGTCCATTAATTAGGTAGTTAGTTGAGTGATTCGGATGTAATTTGTGAATTGAAGAAAATCACAGTTTAGTTACAAAGCTCTCACTGCACGTATTTCTTGTTGTTGTAGTTGTATGTTCTCTCTCTCTCTCTCTCTCTCATTTGGCCATTAATTTATTAACGACCAATAGAATTTATTGGCTTTGACCACAAAGGCAATCTTCTTCGTCTTCTTCTTCTTCGTCGTCAAAGTCTTCTTGGGTGTTATTCAGTTGTTGTTGTTCGTTCGTCGTTATGGCACATTAAACATAAATTATGGCTAATTATTATTGCAATTCACAAGTTTCGTTACGTTTTGGTCAAATTAGAAACTAATAGTTTTATTTCACTTAGTAGTTGTTTGGTAGGGGGGGGGGGGGGGTTTAGTTGTGAACACCGACCTTGATTAATAACAGGGGAAAAGATAATTTTTCCATTGAAAATATATGCTCAAGTAATGGAAAATCATGATTTTTAATGAAAAATATTAAGGAGCTGAGGACAGAAATTCACTATAAGTACTGGAAAATGCTTATAGTGTCACTTTCTTTTAGAAGGAAACAAAAATTTTGTTATTATTTATTTTTTTTTTTTTTGATACAAAATAGAACAAACAAACGTTGTTTTTATAAAAACAACAATAAAGGGATTAAGCCTGAAAATTTGCAACAACATTTGATACAAAATTTTAATTTTTGTATTTATTATTATTATTATTATTTTTTTTTTTTTTTTTTTTTTTTTTTTTGTAGAAAAATATTGATTTTTTTTTTTTGTTAATACAGGGCTAGATGATAAAGCCGCAGCCAACTTCAAACTGCTGTCATTCCTAAGCCACTCGTCCGACAGCTGTTAAAATTATTCCAGTGAGAACTCATTATTTTGTTTACAAGCGTACAAAAGCATTTTGCTGAGAAAATGTTATTCGTGATGGAATTCAAGCGTGATAGTGTGATTTCTTTATATTTGGCTACAAAACCACAAGTGGCTATCGTTAGAGCACTCCAGCATTTAAATGTGAATAAATCTTTTGTGTGTCGCGCATCATCGCTCGTTACCGTGATACTGGTAGCGTTGCCCGACGTGAAGAAAGTGAACGGAAGAAAACAGCAAAATCAGCAGAAATGGTTCGAAAAGTAAAGAAGCGACTTGATCGAAACCCTCGTCCCAGTGGTCGTGAGCTGAACATATCCATTCGGCAAATATTGAAAAATGAGTTTCGGGTAAAGCCATTGAAATTCCAAAAAATCCAAGAACTTACACCGCAACTGAAAAAAATAGACTCAAAAGAGCTAAAAAGTTGCTTCGTTTGGCCGAAAGTCGTGAACTGCCGAAATTGTTTTTCTCCGATGAGAAAACATTCGTTGTTCAGCAGTTTGTACACAAACAAGATGATCGTGTTTAATTGCCAAAGAGGTCAGCTGAAAATGTGCACCTTCGGCTGGACACCACAACTCAAGCACCGGCCATGGTGATAGTGTGGGCCGCCATAACAGCCGATGGTCGCTCTCTGTTAGTATTAAATCGTGTCATCAGAATAAATGCCGAATATTATCGTGAAAATATTCTGAATGGTGTATTAAAGCCTTAGGCACTCAAACATTTTGGCCGCAGACCTTGAACATTCCAACAGGACCCAGCACCATTGCACTCAGACAAATAAGGTTCCTCGCTTCATTCCCAGCGCACAATTGCCACCAAAATCTCCGGATACCTATCCGTTGGATTATTGTGTCTGGAGTATTTTTTGGAAAGCAAGGTTGGCACTAAAAAATACCAAAGTGTCGATCACCTCAAGCAAGCGCTGCGGCGAGAATGGACCAAAATACCGCAGAACAATATTCGGGCAGCGTTTGGCTGTTTCATTGGCCGTCTGAGGGCCATAATTCGTGCCAAAGGTGACCAATTCTAACAAATCTAAACTTATTCTAAAATTTGATGCTATGTCCGACGTTTTTTTGCGTTCATTCAATAAAATTAAAAAAAAAAAAACAAGTAAAAAAATATTAAATGCGGCCGGGACCTTAGGGTAATGAAAACACTAGAACCAATTATGACCAACAAATACCAACTTTTAGACATATTCGTGGAAAAACGTGACAAAAATCATCAAAGTATTGAATATCGGAAGGTATGCTGATTATGAATATATATACATTATGGGGTCCACGACGAATATTTAGGGATGTAACAAACGGAATGACAAAGTTAATATAACCTCCTTTCCTAGGTGGAGGGTATAATTATAAATTATGGCGTTTGGCTTTGTTTCAGTTTTTTTTCTCACCCTGTAATTGTTTGTTTTTTCCTTAACTTTTTATAAAAAAAATCCTTTTTTATTAAAAAATCTATAAATATAAAAAATCGTATTGGGTGTACAAATAGAGCTTGAAATCTGATATTTGCTATTAGGATCGCTGTTCATGTGTTGGGTGGTCATATGGAGGTGGTTTCGGAAATGTGTACTATAAATTGTACAATAAATAAGTTTGGTATTGGGTTAAGGAATATTTGGTATTCTAAAACTTGATATTCAAATTACCGACGGTATCTGTGTTCAAGATTTGACGGTGGTTTGAAAATGCGTCCTATATTTGTACGAAAAGTACTAAATTGTACTAAATTTGGTATTAAATGAAGTGATAGGACTGGAACCCTAGAATTTGATATTGAGGTCTCTGTTGGTGTCTGGAAATGAGATATGAAAGTGGTTTTGGAAATATGTAAATATGTATGTATGTTTGAAATATGTAATTGTACAAAAAGTACTAAAATGTACCAAATTTGGTGTTGGATGAATAAATAGACCTGAAATCCCGAAATTTGATTTGGATGTCACTTTTGATGCCTGTGGCAAAGATGGAAACATATTTTCCTATTGATTTGACTGAAAATATGGTATTTTGGAGCTTTGCCTTTCTCTTGCAACCAAATCGGTTGATATTATTCAATAGCAACTGTCAAAATGGTTTCTACACTCAAAAAAAATAATTAAATCAGGATTATCCCACATATGCTGCTACTCCTAAACATGAACCTAAATTGAAATTTATTTAGAAAAAGTGTTTTACGTCCAAAGAAAGTTAAAGCCAAATCAGATAATATGACCTACGCAATAAAATTTACTATAATGCATCCTTGTACAAATAATCGATTAGGGTTCTGTACATTTCATGATATAAAAATTCATGTCTTAAAATTTCTATAACTGCGACATCAACTTCATTTGATGATGATTTGTAGTAAAGGGGAGACCAAAAAAATGCAATGCACTTACCTTTTTTACATTCGTTGCCAAATGACGTCGCTGAAGGTCCGGAGTTTAAACAATTTTCCCATTGCAACAGCAGCTATGCATTTTAAGGATATTGTTTGCTGAAAAAATATAGGAAAGAGAAAACATTTTTAGGACTCTAGCTCTTTCTCGACATTGTACTTTTTGTTGTTTTTGTTATTGCTAACGAATGAAGGAATAAAATTGGAATTTATGCTAATGACGGTACTTTGGTTTTTTTTTTATTTACTCTAATTCTATGTTTAAGAGTTAATAAACTTTGGAATTCATGTAAACGGAATGCGGAAAAGAGAGAGAGGCAGAAGTGGGGGAGAAAAGGAAATAGGTCCTTCGTCATCGTTTCATTGTTTGTTGTGCAGGGGGAAAAACTGCAGCGTTGCTGGTTAAACGAACTTGGGAAAGAAAGCCGTAAAAACGACAATGAACCCAAATCGCCAAGGTAGGTACATTGGTGGAACAGAACATTGCCTCCTCTGCAGTTACTTTGTAAACGAATAAATTCTTCGCAAAAAAAAAACGTTTTGTAATCATTTTCTTGGCTTTAAAAATAGTGTTTTGTTGTTGTTAGTTCTTACGCTCGTTTTATGCGCCTGCAGACGACTTATGAGGAAGGTAGGTAAAACGTTAAGGTAACATAAAGCTACTACGCAAATTTGCCAAAGGGTGAAACCCTGTTCATCCTCCTCATCCATTATTCACCTATAGTTCGGGAAAACCCCAACGACAGCAGAAGAAGGGGAAAACAGAAGAAAAGAGAACCGACAAAAAATGTATTAAAGTAGAAAATGTTGTTGTATTACAAAAGAAATTAGCATAAAACTGCATAATAATACACAATGGCGCAACAGCCAGAAAGAAGCCAACCACGGAGGAGGTACTCTCGCATGAATGAAGTACCCAGCAAAATAATATTCTATGAATTGGAAGCATAATGTATTTTCATGCCTACCACAAGAATGAATTATTCCCTTTATCTTTCCATGGGAATGAATTATTCGCTATTTGGTAAATTTGGAGTTTTTAAGGCAACTCCTACTCGAAATAGAAAATGGGAGATTCAGTTCGCATTAACAGGATTACGATCTGGGATTTCAGTGTCAATGAAATCGTCACACCCTGCCCGAATGTTGTTCTGCGGTATTTTAGCCCATTCCCGACGAAGCGCATCCTTGAGGTGATCGACACTTTGGTATTTTTTAGTGCCAACCTTGCTTTCCAAAATACTCCAGACACAATAGTCCAACGGATTGGTATCCGGACATTTTGGTGGTCATTGTGCGCTGGAAATGAAACGAGGAAACTCATTTTGTAACCATTCTTGGGTGGTGAGTGCTGAGTTGGTCTGTGGCCAAATACACCCTCCAGAATATTTTCGTGATAATATTCGTCATTTCGATTAATACGGGCGGATAGCGACCATCGGCTGTTATTTTCATTTCACATTTTCATAGAACAATAATTGAGGACCTGGTGGCCAATGGAAGGTTCACATTTTCAGCTGACCTCTTTGGCAAGTAAACACGAGCATTTTGTTTGTTGACAAATTACGGGACAACGAATGTTTTCTCATCGTAGAAAACTAAATTCGGCAGTTCATCACGTTCGGCCAAGCGAAGCAACTCTTTAGCTCTTTTGAGTCTATTTTTTTCTTTTGCGGTATAAGTTCTTGCACTTTTAGAAATATCCATGGCTTTAACCCGAGCTCATTTTTCAGTATTTGCCGAATGGAATATTGCGATATGTTCAGCTCACGGCCACTGCTACGCGGGTTTCGATCAAGTCGCATCTTTCCTCTTCGAACCATTTCTGCTGATGTTGCGGGTTTCTTCCGTCCACTTCCTTGACGTCGGGCTACGCTACCAGTACCAGTATCACGGTAACGAGCGATGGTTCGAGACGCAAAAGATTTATCCACATTTAAATGCTGGAGTGCTCTAACGACAGCCACTTGTGGTTTTCCGGCCAAATATAAAGAAATCACACTATCACGCTTGAATTCCATTACGAATAACTTTTTTTCTTGAAAATTCTCACCAATATGCTTTTGTACGCTTGTAAACAACATAATGAGCTGTCACTGGAATAATTTTAAAAGCTGTTGGACGAGTGGCTTAGAAATGACAGCAGTCTGAAGTTGATTGTAGTTTTTTCATCTCACCTTGTAGAAGAGTTCTGGGTATCTGGATTTGCTGGGTACCTGGTCCTTGCAGTATTGAAATGAAAAGGCCGATGAATTGACAAGGGTGAGTTCGCGGTCAACAGACCTTGAAGTCACCAATATCTTAAAACCTCCTCTTTGGCATTTTACCAGAGAATTGAACCGACTCTTCAAGGAGAAAGACAAAGCAAGATGATACAATGAACCACGGTGCAAAGTATCAAAACAAAATTGGCCAGGTAGCTCCTAGCATAAAACGCAGTCTCTTTTAAGCATGAATAAACCACTATTACGGATTTAAACAGGGACACTAACAGGTCACTGCAGCATCCGTTCAAGAACATCCAAATTGAGATAAGTCTACTATTTCAATTGTAACTACACATCCTCTAATCTAGCCTAAACGTCTCCTAAGGACAGAACACCTTTCAATTGGTGTCATACGGATAAAATACGGTTGATTGATTAACAGTGCAGTATTTTCCCATTGACTTAACTGCATATTACTCTCTATAAGCTCTATCTCAAAACTAAACTGACAGCTTTGCAACATTTGCTGATCGCTACCAATATTGTGATTTCTTTCCGGCGAAGGGAATGGGAATCACTTGGATTTTCCACTTTTTTATATGTATGACGACTTTTGTGAAAATCAAACTCCTTAAGTGTCGAGCATTCTCAAGTGAATGAGAATCACACTCACTTCTTGATTTTCCCAAAAATTTACAATTTACTGTAAAGCTACCAGCACATTTTCAACTAAGGACTCACCTAGCTTTGCCAGTAGAAGAAACATCGATACAGTCACTTGAGTTTTTTGGTACAGAAGATATTTAAATAAGTATGAAATGAACGGTATACCCTTCATATCTCTTTAATATACCAAATCCTGTTTAAACGTCTCCTAAAGATAGAAAAATTTTCGAAAAACAACAACAAATTATTTTTTTTTTATATTATGCTCAATTGTTTTGCTGGGTTACGTTACAAAACCCCAGTGACTTTCATACAGCAGTTAGTCAGTCAGGCTGGCAGCCATTCATAGAGCCAGGCAGTCAATTGAGTAGATGATGTTAGTCAATCAAGTGAATTGATAGTGAATGGGAAGAGAGAGAGAGAGAGAGAGAGGGAAAGCAAAAAAAGGGAGAAAAAGCTCAACACAGAACACGTGCATAACAGAAATGGACTCCATTAGGATAACGGTATATTTTTTGTGGAGAAGGTGGGTTTGAGATAGGGCCAGGATATTGTACTGTGTATCAACATAGGTATTTAATAGGAAAAAGGTACCAAAACCAGATTATAACTACACGGAAGAAGGTGTGGAGAAAAGCCAGGAAATTTAGTTTTGAAAATAGTATCTCCGGATATACTAATTTTATATGAAAGACCCTTCGGGATATTTCAAATATATGTCAATGTAAAATTCTCATATGAAAGTAGCTATTAATTTCAGCTATTTCGACGATCGAAAAATTTGTTTCTTTGAGAGTAAATAGCCTCATTTAGGGGTATTTTTTTAAGACCTAACAAAGATTGACATGCGATCTCAAAACTCTTCTGAGGAATTTATCTACAAAACGAGTAAAAATTTGCAGTGAATTCGAAAAAGTGTATAATTCTTCGAAAAAAAAGAAGTTTTTTTATTAATTAAAATTAATAAAATTTATATGGACGAACAACATCGCTGCATATGTCTTCCATAGCCAAAAGATCTTCCAAAGATCTTCTGTTGTCAGAAGATATTCTAAATGTCTTCTATACAGGGTGAGATGAAAAAAATGCAACCAACTTCAGACTGCTGTCATTTCTAAGACACTCGTCCGACAGCTGTTAAAATTATTCTAATGACAGCTCATTATATTGTTTACAAGAGTACAAAAGCATTTCGGTGAGAATTTTCCAGAAAAAAAGTTATTCGCGATGGAATTCAAGCCTTTCTATAAATTTGGCTGGAAAACCAAAAGTGACTATCGTTAGAGCACTTCAGCATTTAAAAGTAAATAAATCTTTTGTGTCTCGTACCACCGCTCGTTACCGTGATATTGGTGGCGTTGCCCGACGTCAAGGAAGTGGACGGAAGAAAACAGCAACATCAGCAAAAATGGTTCGAAAAATAAAGAAGCGACTTGATCGAAACCCGCGTCGCAGTGGCCGAAAAATGGCTCGTGAGCTGGACATATCGCAATGTTCCATTCGGCAAATTTTGAAAAATGAGCTCGGGGTAAAGCCATTGAAATTCCAAAAAGTGCAAGAACTTACACCGCAACTGAAAGAAAATAGACTCAAAAGAGCTAAAGAGTTACTTCGCTTGACCGAAAGTGGTGAACTGCCGAATTTGGGTTTCTCCGATGAGAAAACATTCGTTGTCCTGCAGTTTGTAAACAATCAAAATGATCGTGTCTACTTGCCAAAGAGGTCAGCTGAAAATATGCACCTTCGGTTGGCCACCCACCAGAACTCAAGGGCCGGCCATGGTGATGTCGTGAGCCGCCATGACAGCCGATGGTCGCTCTCCGCTCGTATTAATCGACCGTGACATTAGAAAAAATTGCCGAATATTAGCGCGAACATTCTGAAGGGTGTATTAAAGCCTTGGGTACGCAAACACTTTGGTCGCAGACCTTGGACATTCCAGCAAGACTCAGCACCATCGCACTCAACACGCGCTACCCAAGAATGGTTACAAAATGAGGTTTCTCACTTAATTTCCAGCCCACAATGGTCACCAAAATTTCCGGATACCAATCCGTTGGACTATTATGTTTGGAGTACTTTGGAAAGCAAGGTTGGCACTATAAAATACCAAAGTGTGTCAATAAAATTAAAAAAAAAAAAACAAGTAAAAAAACATTAAATTCGGCCGGGCCTAACTTTTAATACCCTCCATCTTAGGGTAAAGGAAACATTAGAAGAAATGTG